TAAATATATCTATGCTTGCAAGAACCTGCAGAAGGTATGGTAACCCCACACCATCCATTTCTATGGCTGTTTTTTTTAAGAGCATGCCCTTCCAGAGTATATTATTTTTGTTGGGCACTTAATTTATTCAGAAAGTTGAAACTGGCCCAGGAAGAGAGCAATAGTATTGGAGAGATGGGAAGGCTAGAATGGAATTTGGCATTTAAGGCTTATTTTAGTCACTTTCATGTATGCCCTTGAATCATAGTTTTAGTTGAAGACCCTTCCAGAAGGAGGATAAAGAACATTGTTTCTTTTATGAACAGTTCCGCAGAACAATTTATATAGATCAAGTTAAATAAATGGTTATGGAAGTTCTGTGTACATTTGCTTAGAGGTGAGCCCTATTCAATCCAGTGAGACTTACTTCTGTGCAAATGTATATAGTGTTGCATTATTCTTAAATATTCAGATTGGTGGAAAAACAAGTTTGTTACAAGAAAGCTGAAGTTGTAGCTGCCTGAAAGTAATTAAACTCCCATTGCTTAAAAATTAAAAATAATTTTTATCTAACTGTTTCATAGGAGTTAAACTGCTTTGACACCTGGTCTTATGTATGCCTACTTAGAGAAAAGTCCCACTGGTTTTGTTCAGATTTATAGAGAAAGATGTGTAGGATTGCAGCCTTTACAGTAGCTAGCATTTAGCCCATCAGTACTCTCCTTGTTTGAGCTCTATTTCTTAAAGAGCTTGTTATGTGAGCTGTTAAATCATATATGATTTGAATTTACTTTGTTGTGCTTTTCTAAAACCTAAGTGCTCTCAACCATATTGGGCAAACAGCAGGCTATAAAAACACATCTCAAAATACCTTCTGATATGGAAGTTTAAATATGAAAGATTGTTAAAACATTGCAGCCTGTATGTTCAGAGAACATAATATGCGCACAGTTTTAGGTTACAGTCTTAAATAGTGGGTATAGCAAGGGTGGCAAAAGCGTGATTCCCCCCCCCTTGCTCCTACCAGCCTTAGCCAGTTTATGTAATGGTGAGGAATGTGGGATGTTCCAGCCCAAATCCTGCTGGTGGGGGTTCAGTTTGCCAGTCCCTGTATGGAACTCAGTGACATTTACTTTTGAGTGGACATAAAGTCACATATCCATATCTTATGGGCTTTGATTGAGTCATCCTCTGACTCCCTGATGCCCCAGGATCTGCCAAGAAAGGTGTCCTGTTGAAGAGCAGTGCACTGTATTTGATTTTGCAGCCCATATATTTTATGTGGAATAAAGGTTAAGATGAATGTGTATCTTTGATTTTTTTTTCATTTATAATTTCTACATCCCAGAGTGTAGTTGTGGACAGATAGGTGTATGAATAGTTGGAGGCGTCTACAGACATCATTAACAGAACTTCATTGTTGTAGCCTTGGAATTGCTTCATCCTTGGGAACACTGTACTTGCTTTTAGGGAGGAATAGTGATGAGAATGTAACAAGAGAGCATTGCAGTTTTTTTATAGTGGCATAGGTACATAAATGGATGGGCACAACAGGTGTCCAACAAAACCAAGACAGTTGCAGTGTATTATTTACAACCCATTGTCCTTCTCAGTGCTCAGCATTAGCTACCTCTGTGTTTCATTGTGTCATACATCTGGCTCAGTAAAGTTATTCAACTCAGGATTTAAAAAATAGTTCTCCATTCATTTTACAGAACATAGGTGTCACAAGCAAAGACCTCATTAGCCGGAGGATTAAAGAATACAACACCATGATGAGGTAAGCAGACACAGCACTACCGTACTGTCTAGTTACTCTGATGTATGGAAACCCTGCTTCTGAATAGTGTTCTTTCTCCCCCAGTCCTTCATATGGGAAAACAGAGCCATCCTCCAAAACAGCCCGCCAGACCCTGAGTATAAGACAGACATTCCGTGGTGCTAAAATGGAGCAAAGAACCCAGTCTCCACATTCTCCCAAGGATGAATCAGAGAGGAAATTACCTACTAAAGGTACCTAATGTTGCCTTGCAATATAATCAATTCATCAGTAGTTCTAACCCCATCAGACTTACTCTGAGGATGACAAGGACATGTACAGTTTTGATCACATTATTCATGAATGCTGGTCTTTCTGTTGAAGGAACTTTGGACAACCCCTTTTTCCCAGTAGTCAAGAATAGGGGAACTTTTCTCTAGGGAATCTCCTTTATTAGTAAACCAATAATAGGGAATTGCATACTTATATGTTGGATTGTGACCACTGTACAGGAACCTTGTTCGCACCATATGTGAAAGCAGGCTTTTTAACAACTTCAGACAAGCTTCAGCTTTAAGGGTTTTTCAAATTTTTTTGTTTTCAACATCTGAATTCAAAAGTACCTTGTTTTGTATCATTTGTTTACATAAGCATATTGATGTTAATAGAGATCTAGGTCTTTGGGTGACCATGCTTATTTGATTCCCGGTGTGGTTTAATGTATAGAGTGACAGAAGAGTCACTCACACATTCATGTTTATTTAGCTGTGTCACCCATGGAGAAGAGATTGAAGGTATTAGCAGGCTCATTGTATCCTTCAGGTCTACAGAAGTAGAAATAATCTTCAGGGCAAAAAGTCCTAAGGAGTAGAACGACAATCCAATGAATATGGAATGTGTTTAGTGCTCATGAGGGACTGTCTGATTGATGAGATGAGAACGACAATGGAATGGAATGTTACGGAAAGGTTAGAGGTGCTCTGTGGTCCTAGCGAGAGGGAGTAGCTCACCACCTCAAATTTTGGGGTGAAGAGGTCCTCACTTCTTGGAACACAGGTTGCCTACGCGAAAAAAGGCAAAAAAGAGAAGTCATATAGACATTAAAATTTCTTTGAGTAAGTCATTTACATATTTGACACAGGAAAGCTATTTTTAGATGTTCCCGCAGATTCAACTGAGACCTGTCTGTGTGAGAAATGAGTAAGTAATCAAATATTTTAACATGGATGGTTTGGATTCAGCCTCAACACAGTCCTGTGAGGACTCAACATAGTAATTACATACGGCGTCCTACCTGAAATGCATGCGGGACTTCCTCTTTGCTGATGATGCAGCCATTGTTGCCCACTCTGCTGAAGACCTCCAACAACTCATAAATCATTTTAGCAAGGCCTGCCAAGACTTTGGACTAACTATCAGCCTGAAGAAAACACAAGTCATGTGCCAGGGCATGGACTCACCTCCCTCTATTACTATCTCCATGCAAGAACTGGAGGTTGTTCATGAATTTGTGTACCTTGGCTCAACAATCTCTGACACTCTCTCCCTAGATGTCGAGCTGGATAAACGCATTTGGAAAGCAGCTACCATGTTCTCTAGACTCACAAAGAGAGTATGGCTTAATAAGAAGTTGACGGCATACACCAAAATACAGGTCTATAGAGCCTGTGTCCTGAGCACACTCCTATACTGCAGCGAGTCCTGGACCCTTTGTGCACGGCAGGAGAGGAAGCTGAACACCTTCCATATGTGTTGTCTCCGACACATTTTTGGGATCACCTGGCAGGACAAAGTTCCAAATAGAGTAGTCCTAGAACGAGCTGGAATTTTCAGCATGTATACAATATTGAAACAGCGCTGTCTACGTTGGCTTGGGCACGTCGTGAGAATGGCTGATGGTCGGATTCCAAAAGATCTCCTGTATGGAGAATTAGTGAAGGGAAGCCGCCCCCGAGGGAGACCACAGCTGCGTTACAAGGACATCTGCAAGCAGGATCTGAAGGCCTTAGGAATGGACCTCAACAGATGGGAAACCTTGACGTCTGAGCGTTCAGCCTGGAGGCAGGCGGTGCATCATGGCCTCTCCCAATTTGAAGAGACACTTGTACAGCAGACTGAGGCAAAGAGGCAGTCCCGAAACAAGCAAAACCAGGGAGCTGGACAGGGGACAGATTGGATTTGTCTCCAGTGTGGAAGGGATTGTCACTCTCGAATTGGCCTTCTCAGCCACACAAGACACTGTTCCAAGACCTCCATACAGAGCACGATACCATAGTCTCTCGAGACTGAAGGATGCCTACACCACCTACCTGATGAGAAGCAATCTACATGGCAGTGTTTTGCATGACATTGTTTTAGCTTCCTCCGTGGTTATGCTGTTTGAGATTTCCTTTTTGCTGTGGCAGTATGATGAAACATTGGGATTCATAAACTATTGGGGACAACGTTCCCTCTAAGCTGCGAAAGAGTGTGGCAACACAGCACTGCATTGGTGCCATGTACACTCAGACAGTGTTGCCGCCCATTTGGTTCCAGTTGTGTGAGGTGGGGCCCCCACCCAGCACTGGCAGAAAATTAGAGGAAACGTTGATTGGGGGGCATTTGCTGCGCCATGACATAGGGAATGAGGATACCAGGCCCAGTGAGATAGGAACTGGGAACAGAATGGTAATTTCTGGTTGTTAGAGTGCACAGTTCATTTATTGTGGTAACTATTGTTGCAGCTCTTTTTAACAAAAGGTTTTCTTGCCACAGTGATGCTTGAAATTCTACCTTTCTTGCTGACCTAAAATTAGTGTGTATACACTGATACAGAGTATCTGGTGAGGCCTGGTGGTAGGAGTCCTGCATTAATTTACCCAACATGGAAATTAATTCCTATTGAAGTTTTTTCTTCATTGCCTTAAGGTCTAAATAACATGATTCAAAGTTGTTTTCATCAACTTGCATTTCTCTTGATATTTATATTATAATATAATAACCTGTGGTTTCGTGCAGTTCTGTGTGTGTATCATGGAGCTGTTTGCAGTGGCCACTGAATTGTAGTCAGCACTAAATAATTCCAAATAATGTTTTGAGAAGATCTAGCATAGGTGTCCTATTGTAGAAAGACTAAAGAAATCACTGAAGAAGTAGTCTAGGCAGCAGAAACATCTGATTAGACTTGACAAATTTACTGTAGTAGAGAGTAGAATTTCTCCCCTGTGCAACTGCATTTGGAATCACAAAAACTCTGAATTTCCCAGCTAACTGCCTGTGACAACAAAAGGTATCCAGTTGGCTGATGAAGTCATAGAAGGTTATTTTGCAAGTCCTGTGCATTTGGAGGGTAGGTTTGGCAAGACATAGCTACTTTCTATGTCTTATGCTTTCTTCTAATCATTTTTTTGGAAAAGTTGAAAAGTGACTTGCAAGTGAGATGTGGGTCAGATGTAAGAAAATCTAGACAGCAGATAATTAAGAATATTTCAGGTAGTTTGTAGAAACAGTAGTAAAGAATAGGTTTCCTATATAGTTCAATTGCTTGTACTATCTATGGTACCAAGAAAGTTGACTCTTGTTTCCATGATAATGCAGTGGGTGGACCATGGCTGCAGGGGTTATGGTGATTATCTTAAAACTACAGGGCTGGATGTGAAGGTTCAAAGGAGACCTCCTTTTGATCGGACACAAAAATAGGACACTCGGTTTTTGGAAATTCACAACTGGGGTTTATTGGAACATCAAACACTATATCTGTAACTTTATAGTCCTTATTAACTCTCTCTCTCGTCGCCAACGGGTTGAACGAGGGTATCCAAATATCTTGTAGAAACGGATTATAACCTGACTTATACCAAGGTCCTTTCACAAAAGGATTAGTGTCCTCAAAGTTGGGAGAGTCCACTCCATTGTCTATCAAGGGAGGGGTCTCCTCATCTCTCCCTTCCAGGTTGAAGGGGTCGTCTCCCTCTGAGAGAGGTACCCAGGGTCCGGTGAATACCTCCTCCGGCGAGCCTCCTCCAGATGCCATGCCCTTCTTTCTCGCTCTTCTCTCTCTACCGCCTCCTTCTCTTCTCTCAACCTCCTACACCACTCTCTGGCTTCTGGCTCTCCCCAATACGAAGGGCGAGGAGGCAAGCCTCTCCTCCGCCTGTAGTCAGCCTTTTCCCGAGGCACCCGGACCTTCTCACATTTCCCCGTCCAGGGATCTTCCACCCATATCAACTCCCAACCCCCCAATATGTCGTCTCTCCTCTCTTTTATATCCCCACTTCCCGCTGGTACCAACGGCCGACCTCTCTCCTCTGTTCCCGCCTTCTCTGTCCCTGTTTGAGTGGATATAGATATCTTTCTTATCCCCTGTTCCAGATCTCGGGTGTCTACTCCCTGCTGGACTGTCACGACTCACAGGGCTAGTGGATCTGTTTGCACCTCTTGTTCTCTCTTAGTTCTTGTCAAGGAGGCATAGTGGGAAATTCAGTTCCCAACCTCTGGCTCCACAGCCATATATCTAAATCACTAAGCAGCGAAACTGTGGTCTGAAATTAAATAAGTGGTGATCTCAACTATATGTTCAGATTTAAACCAAATCTTGTAGAATGTGGTTTGTTCCAATCCCTTTTAGTTGACTAAATGACTATTCATTCATAATTAGTCAGTCTTTTAAATGAAGTGCTTAAGAGTAAGGTTTTCAGTTCAGTTTCTGTTTTTAATTTTTCTCTCCTTAAGAAAAAGATGAGACTAGCCCACCAAAAGACAAAGGTACATGGAGAAAAAACATTCCTCATATCATGAGAAAAACGTTTGAGAAGAAGGCATCTGCAGTTGGCACCTTTGGGGTCCGGCTGGATGACTGTCCCCCAGCTCAGAGCAATAAGGTATTAGTCAAGAATCTTCCATGTATTTGGCTGTGAAAATTCTTTTTTAAGGGTCGTGAGTAAGAAACTCTCTCTCTCTCTCTCTCTTTTTTGCATTTTTCAGTATATTCCACTCATAGTTGATATATGCTGCAAACTGGTTGAAGAAAGAGGTCTTGAATATACAGGCATTTATAGGGTTCCAGGGAATAATGCAGCTATCTCAAGCATGCAAGAGGAACTGAACAAAGGGATGACAGACATTGATATTCACGATGATGTAAGTGATGGCCATTGTATTTTTAACTCAAAAAAAAATGGGGGGGGAGAAAAAGAAAGAAAAAGAAAAAAGGGTATTGCTGGTTATGGACTAACAAAAATTTTCCTTTCCTCAATGCTTAGAAATGGCGAGACTTGAATGTTATAAGTAGTTTACTGAAATCCTTCTTCAGAAAACTTCCGGAACCTCTCTTTACTAATGGTGAGATGTTGCTTTAAATTGAAAAAAAAAACCTTCTTTTGTTTTTTCTTTAAAGTGCATATTGTATATAGATTGCTATAGTCAGTGAAACAGAAGTTCTACTAATTTGTAAATACTGTGTAATTTACTCCTAGCATTTTTGCCTGTTATGTGTTGATAACTCCAGCCAGCATAAGTAATAGCTGTGCTGTGTGCCGATAACGAGAGCTGCATCCGCAGTGCATGTGGAAAGGCTGCTGCTGAAGATTCAGTTGCTTGAGGAACTTTCTGATGTTTCACTTCAGTTCTCTCGCTTTTTTCAAAAGACCACACGATAGGAGTAGACACCACACTTAAGTGCGAGAGAACATATTTTTATGCAAAAATAAAAAATAAAAATAAATTCCAGGTAGCAAGTCACAGGAAGGACCTTAGTCTGGCTGAGATCCTAGATGACAGCCAGTCATCAAAGAGACAGCCACTTCAAAAGGTTGTAGCAGCTGCAGGTCAAGCATATATTGATTTATATAAACCCCAGTTATGTATCTTCATAATGAAAATCACCTGCTGTGCTGGATAGCTCAGCGGGTTAAGGCATCTGGTTGGGAGTTTGATTCCCTACTGTGTCTCTTTTGCAGGAGCTGGACTTGATGATCCAACTCTGCAGATCTAAGATGATGATGAAGAGTTAATTGCAGATAGGCATGTTTCTATCATTCTTCTAATACATGGGCTCCACATCTTGTGTATTTGTTTTCTTAGGGCACGAAAACATCCTGCATTTATCAGGCTGGGGAATTTGTGGCCCTCCAGACGCTGCTGTGGTGCACCTTCCATCATCCCTAGCTAGCCTAGCCAGGGTGAGGGATAATAGAAATAGCAGTCCAGCAACTTCTAGTGGACCACACATTCTCCACCCTGTCATTGTCTTCTGATGGCCTGGATCTGTCTGAAGCTTTGAGCCTCTCTGTCGTAGCACTCTAATTACCAAACTATGGTGTGTTTTGCCTGATTTCGTGTAGTAAAATTATTTTCTCTTTTGTTAGACAAATACGCAGATTTCATTGATGCCAATAGAAAGGAAGACCCAGTGGAGCGATTAAAAACACTAAAAAGGCTGGTATGCTGATTTTGGTTGTATACCTGATTTGATGCAAAGGTCTATGTTTAGCGATCCTTTTTAAACTCTGTACAAAAATGTTTGGCTTCAGATCCACGATTTACCTGAACACCATTATGAGACACTCAAATTTCTCTCAGCACATCTGAAGACTGTAGCAGAAAACTCAGAAAAGAACAAGGTAAAGTGTCTATCTCCTAGCAGCTTATCTTTATAATAATGAAGCTTGGGATATTTTTGTTTGGTTTTGAAGGTATAATTGTGGATCAGGTTGTAAAACTTAGTCCTAATCATTTAAGCCATTATGCTTTTGTCACTTTCTCTGCTTAATCAGTTTGTGACTGACTTAAATAGTGAGTCCTGTGAGAAGAAACCCAGTAATTGTACATTGTGACAGTGAGTCCATTAATTAAGCATAGCTATGAAAAATAAGCGAGAAAGTGTACAGGGCTCCAGAACCCCAAATCTCTCTAACCTTAAATTGGGAAGATGTGTGAAGGAAGGTTTTAGTTTCACCTGTTAATCTCCCAGTGGCTTGAAGAGTTACTGCCACCAAAAATGGATGATGATGGCCTAAAATAGAGGAATGGCTAGGCTTTAGAGAAGGCAGTTTTCTTTTGAAATAGACTGTGCTGTCCGTTTGACATGTTAGACTAGTGTGAATAGCTGGGGCCCACCAGCAAACTTAAGTATGAGTGTGTGTAGATATAATATATATAGGAAATATTACATCCCTGTTACAAATGAGTAAATTGGATTTATTTTCTTCACTTTTAAGATGGAACCAAGAAATCTGGCAATAGTGTTTGGTCCAACTCTTGTGAGAACATCTGAAGATAATATGACACACATGGTTACCCATATGCCCGATCAATACAAAATTGTAGAAACGCTTATTCAAAAAGTAAGTAAATTATTTTTGCTGTTACAGACTAATCATAATTATTTTTGCTTGGGTTTGATTCTTCTTTAAGTTGCTCTTGCTTTCTTTTCTTTTCATTTCTCCAATGTCCACATTTTAACAACAACTTCCCTTTGATAGAGTTTTTCTCTTATTTTAAATTTTAGCATGACTGGTTTTTTGCAGAAGATGATGCTGAAGACCCCCTTGTAAGTACTGATCCTTACATATTTGGATTATTCTTCCCCCTTAATTTAGGCCAGACATTGTTATATCTAAAATAATCATGTATTTTCTTATGTGCTTCTGTCTTCCTGGTTCATCCTGGATGATTTTCTAACTCTTTATTCCCTCTGGTAATGAAAATAACAATTAAAATATAGTTAACAGAGAGTTCCTCTACTGCTGTAGTGTTTTCTCTATTTTACTCTACTTCTTCTTTCCCCTCTAAAATTCAATAAGGAAAGTTTACAGTTCCTGAAGCATCCATTCTTAGGTGAATAATTGTGTTCTTAATACTGTTGATTCGTGATGAAGGCCCTAACTGTGATGCGATGATGAAGAGATCTTTGTTTATTAACTGTAGACAGCAGTTCAGGAGGAAAACACAGTAGAATCTCAGCCAGTGCCAAACATAGATCATTTACTCAGCAACATTGGAAGGACGGGAGTATCTCCTGGAGACGTATCAGGTAACTCTTGCCTGGACAGTGGTAGTCTGTAAGCTAGAAAAATTCTCTTCTAATGATTTGTTATAATCTTGTATTTATTTTCTTTGCTAATAACTTGCTTTTCCCCCTCCTCAATCTACATTATCTTGGGTGTTAAAGGACAGTAAAAATAGGGCATTTTGCATAATGTTTGGAACATATTCTTGGCCAGCTTGGATCAGTATAACAGCTAAGCATGCTCTCTGTCAATAATCCCTGGAATTCTTACCATGTGGTGGAGAATATCCCTGCTAGTGTGCAGGTGGTTTAGGGGAGGGAAGAAAACTTTAACTCTGTTTGGGCAGCATTGATTTGCAAACTTCAGAAGGCAAATAAGCTTGTTAAAATTCACTTTGCCTCACAACTAACCAATATTTTTCCAAAGTAGCTTTTAAAAGGGTCTATTTATGTAATATTGAACATGTCGCTTCTGTTTAATAACTGCCACCTTTATTATTCAGCTAAGTACTACTATTGCAAACTTTCTTGGTGCCTTTCCCCCTTCACTACCACCATACTGTTTCACTAACCAAGCATGTTGTTTTATTCACAAATGTTATCCCTTTGTTTCTAGTTTGTGTTTTAGTTCATAGACGACTTTTTTCAACATTTTATTGAAACAATCCCTCTATCCTGATGTTGAAACAGGAGAAGTGGGAGGAGTCTATCACACGGTGATGTCACTGGTGGACTCTGTGATGTCACTGATGGACAACTGGAACTGTAGGAAGAAGGAGGACTGTTGCCCACATTGTAGCTGCCTTGTCTGCAGAAACCCCCGTTTCTTGTAAATGCACAAAGAACTAGTTGATCTGTACTGTAAATTTTTTCTTTCTTTCCAAGAGTATTTCAACAGATCAGTGCTACTTTTTAAAAGTGTTTCTGCTGTTTCTTGTTATTTCTGAAGCAGACCCTGAGGAGAAATAGCATGGTATGGTCCACCAGTTTTTCCTAGTCATTAGCCATGTGTCAAAAGGGGCATGGCATGGGGCTCAGCTCATTAATTCTTAGGTGGGGGGGGGAGTCCACTGAGCGTTGGAGAATGGCAAAGCAAAACATCTTTCGGTCTCTGTGCTAGCCCCTCCGTACCCCCTTTATAACTGTATAACCTCCGTTGTCCTTTTTTTTTCCTTTCTTTTTTTGCAGACAGTAAACCTATGGTGTCCATTTTTCATTTCATAATAGCGCTTCTTTTTGAGATGAGTACAAAACTGATAGCTGTGGAAATCTAGCTAGCGACAAATGCAAATTTCATAAACCTGTAGCTCAGAGGAGCACCTGAATGTGTAACTGGGGTGTTCGGACCCAAACCCCAAAACGAACAGTTTGATAGCACACAAATGTGATTCTCAAAATAATTTAAAAATTGTTTCAGAAGGTAGCCAAAAGTTCTAAAAAATAATAACATTAAATTGTGTATTTTATGTACAGGAGTGTACAAAGTACAATCCTGAAAAGGTCTCTCAGCTGCGGTTTTGCAGGGCTGTGTACTTTACAACATTGAATAAATATTAGTGTTTCTGTTTTGTTTTATTTAGAAGAACATGGCACCTTTGCCATTTCTGTCATTGAGCTGATTCTGCCTACAACTCACGGCACATCCTTTCATGGCGGTGGCTTTCTGTGGTGCAGCTTGCATCTTTGTGAGCTCTTCCTATCCACTTTTTTCTGATTATTTAATTTTTTTTACTTGTTTGCTTTCACATTTTGTTCTGTGCTTGTATTCTTTCATATGTCCGGCATTGTCTAGAGCAACAGCAGGCTTTGTACAGGGTTGACTAAAGTACTGTGTTTTTTTTTATCCCCATTCCCCCACCCCATCCTATTAGATTCAGCAACTAGTGACTCTGCAAAATCTAAGGTAAATTGCTAGACTTGCATTTGGTGCATGTTCTTATTGCCTTCACATAACTGTAAGAATATAGAGTGTGTGCATTTTAACATACATCTGTCATTATACTTCTTGTGACTGGCTTTTCAGCATTGAAAGGGTTCCATTTACTTGTTACATACAGTTGTAAGTTTAAGATATTCAGGGGTGAAGTCTAGTTCCATTACTACCACTGTTGAAAGAATATGGTATATTGACTGGTATTAAGAATTGTGGTGGAAGAAACTTGTATTCTTCTTTTTGTTGGTGTTTGAACAGACTACCTCTGTTACATCAGTGAAAATTGTAATAAAACAAACAGCATTCCCTTTAACCCTTGAAATCTACTAAATGGCTTAAGCACATCACTTTATTCCTCAGTACACAATAATTCTTAAGTTAGTTAGAAGGATAATTCCATGCTAGCCTTGAGAGAGAATGGAATACAACTATAAAAAATGGCATTATATCTTTGGCAGTAGATTTCATCCCTAAAATTAGCAATTTTAAAGTTACTAACACTTTCACTGAAATATGCAGAGTACCTTCTGCATATGCAAATAAGAAGCAGTTTATAGAGGTTTGCATTCTTGATAATTTTAGTAAAAGGCTTCCAAAGGTCAAGTCCATAGATAGTATATATTGCAAAATGGAAAGAGTGACGTTTCATGGATTATAATCCATTTCTTCAGACAACATTGTTTGAAGGACAGAAGTCATGAACTTTTATTCTTGTTTTTTGTGTGTGTTTGAACAAACTCAGTTACATCACTGAAAACTATAATAAATCAAGTAGCATTTCTGGAATTATCAGAAGTCACACAAACTACAAAATCAGTCATAAGTCAAGAAATAGAAAATAGTACTATCATTTAGGTATCTCATATATAATATACTGATTTCTAAAATACCTTGTGATGTTCATGTTTCTATGTGCTGGCAAGATTTGAAAAGTTCTCCAAAATTACTTCAGTAAAGTAGCTCTTCACATTAAGCAGCAAGGCTACAGTATTCATAGAATTTTTCAGATTATATATCTACCCATGGAACTCAGTAAGGGAAGGGTCTTATATTCCTTACCTATCTTTCTTTGGGCATTGTAACTTTTCCTTTAGAATTTCAATCCAGAAATAAAGGGAACAGCTAAATTAGACAAACTACCTAATAGTAACACACCAGTGTCTTAAATGAATACAAAATGGACCTGAATACAGTTCTGCCAGGGAGCATTGATATGCCTCCTATTTTTTATGGCCAAAAACTAATTTAAAAAAATGTTTAAAATTCCACTGTATTTTTAGTATTTGATTTCTGATACTGGTTATGATCGATTTCTTTTACTTCTTTCTCTCATGCAGGGTTCTTGGGGATCCGGAAAGGGTCATTATAGCAGGGAAATGTTTAAGTCCTCCATCTTTGCAGCAACCAGTCGCAAGCGTAAGAAACCCAAAGAGAAACATCCTAGCAGCTCTGAAGATGAGGTGGATAGTGTGTTTTTCAAGAAGGAATCTGCAGAGGATTGTTCTGGGGGTTCAGCGAAAGAGGAGGCTCTTAAAGAAGAATTAGATAAAGAGGCGGCAGGAAGAAAACTGAGAACCGTGATTCCAAAAGAAAAGGAGAACACTGTGAAAAAACATTCCACCAATGATGAAGTGGTACCAGCAAGAACAGAGAGTGTGCCTTCAGAGGATGCTTCAGCTCCTTGTCTACAAAAATACATGAGATCTCCAAATCTCAGCTTTCGGCACAGTGCACAGAAGGGTGGCACAAAGCCACCCGTTTCTCAAATCTCTTCTCAGATGGAAGAAACAGTTTCTGACTCAGGCACTATGCTCAGCAGTTCTTCACAGGCTTCTCTGCAGAGACTCCACTCTAAAAATTTCCCTAATCCTGAAAATAAATGCAGGGAGTTTTTAGCAGCTGATGTCAGCTCCATCACTTCAGATTATTCAACAACCTCATCTATGACCAATCTAACTGGCCTAGATTCCAGCATGCTAAACCCTGAAATGCACTCAGTGATGGAGAATAAAGGAGAGGAAGCGGATGATGAGAGAAGTGAATTGGTAAGTGAAGGTCGCCCTGTGGAAACCGACAGTGAGAGTGACTTCTCTGTTTTTGCTTCAAGTTCTGCTGCAGAGAGACTGTTCAGGGGGAAAGGACAGGACATGGTGAAGGGCATCCGGAGAAACTCAGAGGAGAGTGAAGTGAGTTGGACGGAGGGCAGTTTGACACCAAAGTTGGATAGTCGTAGATTATTCAGTTCACACAAACTTATTGAATGTGATACCTTATCCCGGAAGAAGTCAGCCAGGCACAAGACAGATAGCGAAGGATCAGGAGATGCTAAGGGTGAAAAGGAGTCACCAGCGGTGACCAAAATGATTGACATGATGAAGAAAGGAAAGTCAACAAGCAGCTTAGCTGCATCAGCCAGAAGTGAGCCTGAGAAACAGGAGCCTACATGGAGACTCAAAATTACAGACAGGTTAAAACTGCGTCTCAAGTCATCAGCAGATGATATGTTTGGAGTTGGCAATCAAAAATCAAGCTCTGCTGAGGTCTCCAAGAGAAAAAACATCAGGCGAAGGCACACCTTAGGAGGCCAGAGAGATTTTGCTGAAATAAGTGTTCTGAACACATGGAAAGCTCAAGAAAAAAATCCAGACAGGGAGAAAGACGTTTCAGCAGTGAATCGGTTGAAACCGAAATGTTCTGCACAGCACTTCTCAATTTCAGACTGGCTTGCACTAGAGCGTCTACGCACTAGCACAACGGACCTTAATATGAGTGATAGCAAAAAGCCCAAACAGGAAAACAATAGCAGACTGGCAAATGCATCAAAGGCAGATCTCTCTTTGCCGGCAGAAACTTGGGCAGAGGAAGGTGGTTCATCTTCTAGTAGTAGTTTGACTCTGATTCCTAGAACACCAGTGTCGGGACCACTACAGCCACTAGACCATGTGAATGGAGAAGGCTACCAGAACGTGAACAAAAACAACTTCAGCCCAACAGTTGATGCTCATCCACATAAATTATCCGCAACACAGGTGGTTAGATCTCAATTCTACCAGTATATTTGAGATGAAGAAAGCAGCAATTTGAAAGCAGCTCCTTTTTAAACCCATCTCCAGTTGTTCTGTATATGTTTTCCTGTACCGTGTTACATTGCAGCTATATGAGGAGGTTTATTTCATCAGTCTGCACTGTGAAAAAAAAGGTCTTTACAGTGCATTAATACAGCCTGAATATTTGGGGGTGGGGGGAGGGTAGAGTTTAAAATGTAAATAATTAAAGAAAAAGAAATATATATCAGCATACACATGTGGAACAAAGCATCTAATGCAACATGCTATATAATGTGTACATGTTTTTTATGACTGACATTTGGCATTAGTATGCAGGAAAAAATGTTTGTTTGGTTTAGTCACTAACAAGTGCCTCATCGGGGGGAAAAAGTTCATTTGGTTTGGTAGGGTGCCATAATTGTTAAATTAGAGGACGTTTTATTGTTAAGGCATTTCATTACATTTTACAAATTTTAACATATGTAGGTACAGAGCTTCCATCCCTTAGGCATAAAAATGTTTGGTTTAAAAATGTTTGGTTTAGTCACTAACAAGTGCCTCATCGGGGGGAAAAAGTTCATTTGGTTTGGTAGGGTGCCATAATTGTTAAATTAGAGGATGTTTTACTGTTTAAGTGTTTCATTACATTTTACAAATTTTAACACACTTGGGTACAGAGCTTCCATTCCTTAGGCATTCCAATTGGATTTCTGAGTTTTATATACCAATTTTAATACTGTTTTTGAGTTTTATGTGACTTGAATTTTTAATCTTTCTGTAAAATAAGTAACTTAAATGTACATATTCTATGTGTATCTTTTCCTCAGATACCAGATTTGATATAAATGTTGTAACATAGACATGTAGATAGTGGATCCTGGTTGGAACTGGTTTCTTTTACTGAGAATATAATTCTGCATGAAGACCTTATTGAAACCAAATCTGTATTATGCCTGTGTGCATACCTGTTTAAAACACTGGAAATAAAATTGTTTTGATGGTTTTTTGCATGGACTGACTTGTGTTCTTCAGAAAGTAGTCTAAAAAGATGCCACATTAATATCGTCTAGTTCAGTAACTGCAACCACTGTCAGAAAATGAAAGAAGGTATGCTTCTGATAGCTTTGAATGAGCTTGTTTGCAAATTTTATTTGTCAATAGGGCAAATCACTTTATGTGGATCAGTGATTTCACTACACAGTTGCAAATCTATCTTTGTACTGGAAAACAGAGGCCACGGGGCAGGGTATTCCTTTGGATACACACACGAAAAAGGTCTTGTGCAGGTCCAGCAGTGCCTCTCCCTGCCATTTTTTTAAAAGTTTGTTTTCATTTAATATAGTCCATTCATGCTGTGCCACAACCTTTCTTAGAATATAGGTGTCACAATTTAAGATTGGTCATATTTGTGCAGGAGGTAATGTCTCTCTGGATTCCCAGTGTGGTGTAGTGGATAGAGTGACAGACGAAGACAATAGAAAATAGGGTTTGAATCCCTGATCTGCCATGGAAACCAACTTGGGGAGTAGAACTGGTAAAAACATTCCTTAAATATCTCATTTACTTATAGGATCACTAGAAGTTGGTTCCAACTTGAAGGTACAAAACACACAGTCTTTCTAGCTACATAGAGTTTACACTAGTTGATAGTTTAAAGAGATGAGGCTTTTTGAAAGAGGTAAACTAATGGAATGTTGAATCTTGAGGTAGAGTCTCAAGCAGGTGACCTAATTACATACAGAAGTACCTCAGTTTACGAAATCAATGCATCCTCCGGGATGTTACATCATGAGAAAAATTCGTAAACCAGAACACGGATTGCTGTAGCAACGCTGGTGGCGCTGCAAACCTCCAGGCACGGGGAAACTTCCTTCGCAAAGTGAAAGAAACTGGGAAAAAAAACCACATAAACTGAGTCATTATTTCAAACGGATTTCCATTCATAAACCGAAATTACATAAACCAAGGCATACGTAAACTGAGGTACTACTGTAATTAAACCTAAATCTGGTTAAAATGCAAAATGATACTAATATTTACTATTCATTCTACATACAATATTTACCTCATAATCAGCTGTGCCATTTATCCTGGGTAACAGTGGGCAAAGTGTAGTATTCTAGAGGAGAATTCCGGTATTCCTCAGCATTAGCTGTCTGCTGGCAACATTTGATGGAAGTATTAGTCCAGTTACATCTGGAAGGCCACACTCTCCCTAGCCCTGAATTAGCAAGATTTTGTTGTTGTTTTTTCATTAAGTCGCGTCCAACTCTTCGTGACTCCATGGACCAGAGCACACGAGGCCCTTCTGTCTTCCACTGCCTCCTGGAGTTGGGCCAGATTCATGTTGGTAGCTTCAGTGACACTGTCCAACCATCTCGTCCTCTGACGTCCCTTTCTCCTCTGGCCCTCACTCTTTCCCAACATCAGGGCCTTTTCCAAGGAGTCTTCTCTTCTCATGAGATGGCCAAAGTATTGCAGCCTCAGCTTTAGGATCTGTCCTTCCAGTGAGCACTCAAGATTGATTTCCTTCAGAATGGATAGGTTTGTTCTCCTTGCAGTCCAGGGGGCTCTCAAGAGTCTCCTCCAGTATCACAATTCAAAAGCATCAATTCTTTGGTGGTCAGCCTTCTTTATAGTCCAGCTCTCACTTCCATACATCACTATTGGAAAAACCATAGCTTTGACTATGTGGACCTTTGTCGGCAAGGTGATGTCTCTGCTTTTTAAGATGCTGTCTAGGTTTCTCATCATTTTCCTCCCGAGAAGCAGGCATCTCTTAATTTTATGGCTGCTGTCCCCATCTGCAGTGATCATGGAGCCCAAGAAAGTGAAATCTGTCACTACCCCCATATCTTCCCCTTCTATTTTCCAGGAGGTGATGGGACCGACCAGTGGCCGTGATCTAAGATTTCTTGATGTTGAGCTTCAGACCATTTTTTGCGTTCTCTTTCACCCTCATTATGAAGTTCTTTAATTCCTCCTCACTTTCTGCCATCAGAGTGGTATTGTCTGCATATCTGAAGTTATTGATATTTCTTCCAGCAATCTTAATTCCAGTTTGGGATTCATCCAGTCCATCTGTTGCATGATGTATCCTGCATATAAGTTAAATAAGCAGGGAGACAATATACAGCCTTGTCATACTCTTTTATTCATTCAAGAAGATGAATTATCATTGAAAGCTCACTATTCATTCAAGGAGATGAATTATCATTGAAAGCTCACTGTTTGTTGTTTGTTTGGCTTTTAAAAAAATAGTCTAATAAAGGAATCACTTTCTTCTGCATTTGTATTGCATTGGGGACCACACAGCCTTTTCCTGATTTTTTTCTGAACCTAAAATGTGAGTTCCAGAGACCTCTACCAGATATTATTTTAATTGAGGCTTCTGAAAGTTGAAACCTAACAATATTTGGAAAATTTTACCCTAAACCTGTGCCTTGGTTGCAACATACCATAACAGCCACTTCTGTAACATACTATAGTCGACAACTCACCTACGGGTCCATCAGTTTTTCCAAGAAGGAATCTCAGTGTACAGAATTATTAATCTCCAGGTTTATGATTTAGACCCTTTTGAACTATGTATCTTTTAATGCTTTAAGGTAAATCTCAGAAATGTTGCAGATTAGAAGTTCTAGCATCTGTATGTCAGGAACTATTTGAACTGTTTCTGTCCAAGTGTGAAAGCCGTTCATGGGATCTACGGCTAATTTCCTCATAAAGTATTTGCATTTGTTCCCAATATTTTTGTATACCTATTTATATATTTCGATGTTTTATTTGTGGCTGGTCTTTGACCATAATAAAGTTTTATCTATCTTCCTCATAAAGCTCTCACAACTGAGAATTGGGTTTCACCCCTTGACCTGTGTTTTTCACTTACTCAATGTAGATAAGGATAACTTAAGAATCTCCTGCTCCTGTTAAATTCCAGATCCCATCAGCTCCAGTCAATGTAGCTGGTGATCAGAGGATGTGGAATCCAGTGATATTTGGAAAGACACAGGTTGTCCAGTACTAAATTAGAGTGAGGGGCAGGGGCAATAAGCAGAGTTGTATTCTACTGACTGAAATTCAGTAGTAAGTGGCAGCTATAGTAGGCACAATGAATAAATGAAACCTACAGAGGAGCTGATTCACCAACTCACCACTGATTTAATGGGCCTGTTCTAGTTGTAACTTACTACTTGATATCAGTCATAGTGCCTTGAGCCAAGAGTGGTAAAGAATGACACAATAAAGTGTAAATTAGGGAAACATATTTATTAACACAGAGCATACATGTAGCTAGTTCTGGCTCTTCGTGACTCCATGGACCAGAGCACACGAGGCCCTTCTGCCTTCCACTGCCTCCTGGAGTTGGGCCAGATTCATGTTGGTAGCTTCAGTGACTCTGTCCAACCATCTCGTCCTCTGACGTCCCTTTCTCCTCTGGCCCTCACTCTTTCCCAACATCAGGGCCTTTTCCAAGGAGTCTTCTCTTCTCATGAGATGACCAAAGTATTGGAGCCTCAGCTTCAGGATCTATCCTTCCAGTGAGCACTTGGGATTGATTTCCTTAAGAATGGATAGGTTTGTTCTCCTTGCAGTCCAGGGGGCTCTCAAGAGTCTCCTCCAGTATCACAATTCAAATGCATCAATTCTATGTTTCTAAATGCATATATCATTGTTTAAATTTTCATGTTTATTGTTGCAGGAAACATATTAGTCAGGATCCTGTTGCCCTGCATGACTGTATAAGAGCAAATGAACAAGGAAATCTATTCAAAGTTACATGACACAGTCCCTTCGATTGGCTAGCAAATGATAGTGCATTCAGGTGTGCGCCCAGCTGCATGATGAGCAGTATGCCAAAAGAGAAAATTGCATAATTGCCCTTAATATAATAATTATTATGTACTATCAATTCTGGCTTACAGTGACTTGTTTCAAGTTTTTCCAGGAAGTAAATGCTTGAAAGTGGTTTACTGGTCTCTACTTTTGGGAGTATCCTGCAACTATGCAGCTTGTCCAAGGCCACGCAGGCTCACTCTTCTTGCGGGAGGCACAGTGAGGAATCTAATTCCTGGCTCCACAGCCAGATATCTGAAGCAGTTTTTCCCCATCAATAATTTGACCATAGTTGCTACATAATTCATGATTCAGCTTTTAGTTTAGGCTGTGGTCAAAATGATCACTAATGGTTTTGTCACCTTTTCATGACATGGCT